TTCGCTCGACTGCCATAGGACGCCAAAGTTTGCTCGGCGTTGATGTACCCTGTGGATGGTCTCTCGTAAGCCGGCACAGGCGAGGCCGTCGCTCCGAAGGGGACGAAGCCAGCCTTGCCGGTTGGGACGCCTCCTTGGAGACTTGCATTTATTTGTTATACGAAACCTTTGGCTATTGCTGTTGAAGAGGGAGTGAATGGGCCGTGTCACCTCGCCCCGCAGCCGAATGGAAATTAGAATACTTCGTTGTTGTTGAAATATTGGCATGGTTTTGAGCCTCTCTCTCTCTCTCTCTCTCTCTCTCTCTCTCTCTCTCTCTCTCTCTCTCTCTCTCTCTCTCTCTCTCTCTCTCTCTCTCTCTCTCTCTCTCTCTCTCTTCATCATATAGCCAATGTACATTCTAGCCCATCTCTCCTCAGTTTTTCGTATGTATGTCATTGCCATACCTACGAGACACAGCTGACATGTGTCCCCATACCCGCCCTTATCCCGCCCGCCCACGCATACCCATACCCCGTCGCTCTCCTCTCCCGTACCCAGCCGGCAGTTGGCTTGACTCCCCAAAGGTCACACCTTCACATCTGCCATCACGAGCACACGTGTCAGAGTATCCAGTGCGTCGAGAGTCACCTCAAGGATAGGTGTGTCCCGCCCTTGCCTCGCGAGGATTAGCCTCAGCGCCGTGGCACCTGGCGCTGTCTCTCCCGATCTCGCTCTCTTGTTCATGACGCATTAGACTGTGTGAATGTGACGCCGGACATACCACAGAAAATGCTGTTTTGTTAGCCTCGGTTTGAAGACCGGATTAAACCCTTGAAAACACTCGCCAGTTTTTTTTCACTTTAGATTGAGCACTTCCTCTGAAAGTGCGCTCGGCCTCACTTATCCGAAAGTGTGACCAGTCGTGCTGCCCCCCACGCCCGGCGCTCCGCTAATTGGGCCAACACGCAGCGAACTCCACTTGGCTGCTGGCTGGCTCTGTTTGTCCTCTGTCCTTTTTCGTAGAAAGTGAATTGGCATCAGGGTTCTTATAAATGTTTTTTTTTATCATATATTTTGGCACCCGCTTCTGCGCTAACCGGCATCTTGGCAGGCCGGCTTTTTTGAGGCGCAAACCGGGTCTGGAATGTAGCCTCTTTCGGACTCGTCTGATTTATGCTTGCGAGAGCGCCTTCGTCAGGCCGTGAATGAAACTGCCACCATGAGCTGTCAGTGTCAGTCACCGCTGTCGTCCCGTCGCGGCGCGTCGACTGCTGTCAAGGGGACAAGATCGTCAAAGCAGGCAGGGGGAGTACAACGTCACACACTCGCAGCGGTTAGCCCATTCGTATGTGGCCGCATAGGGGGGGGGGACAGATCAGCCACGAGAAGATGGACGGTAATGGCGGTGGATGTGTAGCTGTCTGGCTCGATGTGGGTCCAGCCGGTAAATCTTCCCCGTCCGGTGTCGCCGTCGCCGCATTCGTCATAGTCTTCGCTCGCCTCTGCCCTTAGGCCTACTCCCGGGGTTTAACCCATTGGGGATAGGCATACGTCCATTCATTCACACGCACCCAACAACGCGCGCACACACACACATACAGGCAAACACACGCACATATATATTTATGTATATATATGTATTTATGTACTAATAGATGGATAGATGATGTGTATATATAGCTACATTTAACTGGCCTGTTCAGAGGCGCAGCACCGAGGTCCGAGTGCGAGGGGGTGTCCTTTCCAGACGAGGATTAGCAAGGAGGGTCTTTGGACCTGCTACCGACTGATCGCTTATCCTCCGTGTCTGCATTCGGGTAACTGGATAGCCCCTCAGCCGTGGCCTCGGGATATTCATAAATTCCTCCTCGTACAGCCAGATAAAGAATAAATGGCCAAGGCTTTTCCTGGGCTCCGAGATAGCGATGGTAAAAAGAATTTAAGCCTAAGCATGGCAGGCGAACCTCAAAAGAAACTGTAACCCTATCAGTTCCAGTCAGAGAAATGTTACAGCCGCTCTTTACGTTCGACCCGGCCGCTCGCACAAGAGAGTCTGGGTAATAACAAACCCGACATACGACCCGCGCGGCTCCAGGACCCTTCGCCCGAAATTTGATATAAGACGAAATTTTCCTGTGTGAAATCTTAGTGAAACCCTTTTTTCAATTTAGAAATTAATTCCTCCTCTTTCCATGGTATTTTGGGCATCCTCGAGCGTGTTTTCACCTGCCAGTTAATCGCCTATTGTCGCCTGCGATCGCCTTTGACGATGCGTTCTTCTCCCTCCATTAGCGGACCTCCCGTGGCACGTCGGGGCGGCGGCGGAGTTGATATGTAAATGGGCGTTGTTGTGCTGGGCGACACGGCCCGACACGGAGACGATGGCCGAGTGATTTATAAATTGTCTTCATTCAGAACACATTAAGGGCAAGCCGGGCTCCCGCGGGGCAGCCGCCTCGTGATTTGTGTCGTTGTCTTTTGGCGAGGGAGCGACGCGCGCGGCGAATCCTGCACTCGGCCGGAGGAGTGGGGGCTGCAGGAGGCGGAGGCGGGTTGGGCCTCGAGCTCTTTAGCGGGGGCGCCGGGATAGAGATTCGTCTGTGAAGGAAGGAATATCATTCAAGAACAGATGTCTAAAATAATTGAACATAAAAATGACGCTTGGCAAACAATGGCTAGACCACGATCATGCGTAAATAAATGACATGAGGCATGACTTATATGTTTGCATGTATTTATGTACATATGTTTGCATTTCATGTATGTATATATTATATATATATATATATATATATATATATATATATATATATATATATAATATATATATATATATATATATAATATATATATATATATATATAATATATATATATATATATATATATATATGTAATATATATATGCACATATATACATGTACATACATACACACATACATACACACATACATGCATACACACATGCATACACACACACACACACACACACACACACACACACACACACACACACACACACACACACACACACACACACACACACACACATATGTGTGTGTGTGTATGCACGTGTGTATGTATGTACATATGTATATATGTATATATATATATATGCGTGTGTGTGTATGCTTGTGTGTGTGTGTACGTACGTACATAAATAGCCACCCAGAGACAGAGAGCGAACGCGTGCGACCAGAGTTCATGTGCTAACGAAGACTGGACACGGAGCTCGGACTTCCTCCTGATTAAGCCTTTGGACGGAGCTGAAGCGCACCAGAAATATCCCTGCAGCATCGTGCTGAGCATCCGGCTCGCGTTGGCTCCCGTGAATAACAAGGGTTTTTGTTGCCGTGAGTAACAATGTAAGGTTTTATTCGTGCTTAGGTTGCCATAGCGACGAGTGACGCCCGGCGCGACGCCCTCCGGCATCACCTGGTGACAGACACTTCTAAAATTATCACGGAATCTCTGGATTTAATAAACGTGCATAGTGGCGGGATCGCGGGAAGGAATTTTTCAAAGGCAGTGTGCTTGAAGTCATGCGCTGAAAGATTAATCGTTGAAATCCTTTCGGCGAGGAACGGCCTGAAACCTTTTGAAATGGAGCGTGAGCGAGGCGAGTGGCCGGGCGCAGCTGTCTCTCCTTTCTCTCCTCGCGACGGAAGGTAGAGTGATCACCATCCCAGGGAGCCGAGGGCGCCGTCCACCTGCCTTGCAAGTGGATTTGTGCGTTTGCGTGTCTATCAGCGTGTCGTGTCTGTTTAGATAGTGGGCGAGATAAAGTGAGAGGAATTGTGACTGCGGCTTTTTCAGTTGTTTTAGCCGTGAATGGTAACATTAGAAGTGTGTGATGGGAAGAGCGGGAGAGTTGTTTTGGTGGCATACCGCAAGTATGGTGTATTATGTGGTTGTGGATGTTCCGTTCGTCTTGGCCGATGGTATCGCATGGACCGGACCCTGACCATGGACCAGAAACACGACCGCCACATCTCAGGTTATGTAACGAGTTTCCCAAGTGTCATGTACCCTGCCCGTCCCCTCCCTCTCCCCTCCTCCTCCTCCTCCTCCTCCTGCGCCTTCCCAGTGTCGCCAGGGCTCCATTGTCTCTGCGGGGCTCGCTGAGCTGTTTGGCAGGGCGAACGGGGCGGGCAGAGGCGCTTGGGGATTCGATCATCCCGGGACAGTTCGGAGGAGCAGGTGGGGAGGGAAAGCGCGTGCAGGCTGCGGCGGCGCAAGGCAGACTTCCCCGTGCGATTAATGGTAACAGCGCTCTCGTGCGTCCGGCCGTGGCATAGCGCCCCCGAAGGCGTGCCCCCAATGCGTTCTTGACACTGCCAGTGCCTGCAACGCGGATCTCCCCTCCCTCTCAATCCCCCCTCATCCCTCCTCCATCCACCTGAGCCGTTCTCCACCCGCTCTCCTCCCCTCCCGCCCCTCCGCGCCCTCGGCCGCCCCAGCCTCCATCGCCATCCCTCTCTGCGTGCGAACCTCCCCGCCCCTTCCTCTGGCCGCGAGCGAGTCCTGTGCTGAGGGCCTCGAGTTCGCGGCGTAGTCAGTAACCCGAGCACGGACGTAGCCAGTCTTGATGGGGGCGTTAAGTGGCCGTTAAAGACAGGATAGGGGTAGTGGCGGGAGGAGGGGGTTCCGCCGGGGTTGCGGGATGGGTGGGGGCGCCGAGGTTCCGCCGAGGGAGGGGCAGGGTTTATTGTGGGGCGGATGGGTTGTGATTGTAGCAGCGTGCGGGGACCGTTTAGTGATGTGTAAAAAGGGGAGGGAAGGCGAGAGCGGGATAAAGGGGAGGGGAAAGGCGGGTTAAAAAGTCTGGCCCCGCGGATTAAGCGCCTTTGTGGCTAAAAAGGTCGAAGTAATTTGAGATTTTCAAAATTTGTACCAAGGTCTAGGGTACCTTGCGGACTCCATTTTTCGCTGGAGGTCTCCTTACTGTCTTGGTAACAAACACTGATTTCTTTTTTCTATTTTTCGGAAGCAGGACTGACTTTTCATGTGTGTTCGCAGGTGGTGCGTCGCGCGACGAGGGCGGGAACTGCCCGTCGCCGCCGCTGTGCCCGGACAAATGCCGCTGCGACGAGGGCATCGTGGACTGCCGGGACCGCGGCCTCACTCACGTGCCCCTCCACATCCCCGAGGACACCACCGAGCTGTGAGTATTTCCTCTGGTTTCGTCTTGATTGTCACATTTCTGCGTGCATGTTTTTACATTTTAGGTTGAAGACTCCAGGTGTTTCCTTACTGCGACTCCTTCTGACTTCTTGGTTGTCTTACTGCCGCTGCTGTGAACTATGGTGACCTGTATGTGCGGGAGTCCTATCGATTGTTTATGAGGATGGCCGGCATGTGATGAGGGAGGTGATTGGATCAGCCCCACAATGCGCGCATTTCCCGCTCCGGATTTTTATGATACTCAGTCGTTTTTCCCGCGCGCTGTTCCGTGCGGAGCTCCTGCTTTCCGCTCGGGTTGTCTGATCGCATTTTGGACAGTTGCTTCCTCGCGCTGCCAGTCCTCAGAATGTAGAGCTCAGTCATGGTGTATTTCAGTGTCGCATTAGCATACCCGCATGGCTGTTGCTTTATCGGAAACCTGATATAGTGCCAACAGCCCGTGCACTATTGTTCGCTCGGCCACCCGATCGAAAGTGCATGACCCCCCCCCCCTCCCTCCCGGGTGGGTGCACCTCGCTGGAGATTGTAATACCTCGCTCCCCCCCCCCCTTCCCCCATTCATCTCTGCACCCCTGCTCTCTCCTCTCCTCTCCTCGCCCAGCTCACCTACGGCTTCAGCTCATCCCCTCGCCGTCCTTTGTCCACAAGCCATAAACTCCAATATTGTTTCCCATACGCGCTCTCCCCTCGGTGTCCCCTCCTCCTCGGTTATTTTCCTTCGCCCTCGCTCACATGTTCCTCTCGGCGTGAAGCAAGACTCGCCCTTTCCCTGGTTGCAAGAGACGCCTCATCGCCTTCGTCTACCCCCCCCCCACCCACTAGTAAACTCCCCCAGGATGCGCTGTCGCTCGGCCCCCCGTGTGCGCGATAGTATCTGGTCCAGGTAACAAGTGTAGATTCGGTCATTAAGAAAAAAACAGGAGCCAGGTAAGCGGGCGGGGCAAGGCTCTCTCGGAAGCGTCAGCGCCGAGGCTCAGCATTCTTGCCTCGGCCCGGGGATTCGCCGAAGCCTTTGAAGCCTCCATTAGTTTGATTCGGACGACACTAATGTCCCTGTTCGAGCTTCTTCTCGGACGTAAGCTTCTACAGGAGTAAGCTTTGCATTGCAGGCGGTCTCGGAGGCGACGGGGAGGAATTAGGAGCCGAGAAGACGACGGCGAGCGGGTTCGTCACCGGCGCTGGTTCCCCTGGCTCCTCGAGGCTACTTAAGCCGTAAAGATATTTGCCCGAATCGGTACGGGATGCAGATATGTCTGGCCGTATGTCGTGAGAGTGTATGGGTTAGAGACACATGTTCGGTGTCAAGAAGCATCATGAAAATTCCGCCGCCGATACCAAATTAGATGGCTCTCGTTTATTGGAAACAGATGTTAGCAGCTCCCTTGTTTCGCCTGAATGTGTCTCGCCAATTGGACAACGACGCCCCTTTCTTTGTAAAGGAATTCCCCTTGCCAAAAGGTTTTTGTCGAATTCCTGAGTAGATAATGTTTGTATATTGTATATTAGGGGACAAAAGAGTGAGAATATATGATAATTTCTGTTTATCGTATTGTGCACATTCTACTGTGCTTTAAATGGTTTAGGACTAAAATGAAGGCGTTTTAGTTCACACTCTTATAAACCGTGAATGACCCGCGTCTGGGAAGTGCGAGCTGAGGCCGGCGAAGGCCAGGGGTCAGCAGGTGGACGACGGCTGAGGGGCCGAGGGGGCAGCCGTCGGCACGGGGAAGGGCAAGGCCGCTGAAAAGGGAGGGCATGGGGGAGGAGGCGAGGGAAAGGGAGAAAAGGGTGTGGGAAAGAAAGAGAGACGGAAATAAAAGGGGAGAGAGAGAGAGAGAGAGCGTGTGTGGGAAAGAAAGAGAGACGGAAATAAAAGGGGAGAGAGAGAGCGAGAGAGCGAGAGCGTGTGTACAGGGTGCCCGTCTCCCACCGGGCGAGCGGGCAGGGTCGTCAACAAGCTGCCAGTCTCGGCCAACACCAAGACGTTTATGGAGGGCCTTTGTTCCGCAAGGAGGAGGGTCTGGTATCATCGCCAGCGCCATGTCTCCGCCGGGGAATATCTCGAGTCTTACGTCACCCAAAGGAGTGATTAAGGGCTTATTTCCCACAGAAGGACATGTATTGTGCACTCTGTTGCCGCATCATTCATTTTGGATGTGTTTGTGTTCCGCTGTCGCAAATAAGAGAAATCTTTATATTCAAGTTTTTATGCCAATGTTTTGTCTGCGCAAACTTGCGATGCCGTAGAAGGCGGGACCCATGATGTCCACAGCGCCCCCCCCCCCCCCCGCCGCCCGCGCGCCCGCGCGCCAAGGTGTGTGCGCGAGTCATTAGCTTCCCCGCGCGAGCTCCCTCGCACCGGAGGAGGAGGACGCCCTAAACGATCGCCAGCGCTCCCTCCTGCCTACCGTTTCCGATTGTGTGTGTTTGGCTGTCTTTGTGTATGTGTTTGATGTTTATCTACGGCTCTATGCATGTAT